TTCCTCTTCTATTGAAATAACAAATAAATCTAGCATTCTAGCGCCGAAATAAGCAAAGAAAAAATGCATCCGAATAATTTACAAAAAAGAAAAAAGATGCAAAAAAATTTGCATCATTAGATTTTTCCATTTATTATATTTTGCTCCTAAAATAAAAATATGATAAATACAGAATTTGTATATATTTATGTTTATATTTTATAATCATTTATATTCATTTTGTATGAAATATTAATGAAATAGATTATTTGATGAATCATATTTATTTTTATTATTTTTATTATTTTATTTATATGTTATTTATCTATCGTATTTTTATATTTATTTCTCTGTTTATATTATTTATATCATTGTATTCTTCTTATTATCTATATATTATTATATTATTCTTATTTTATGTTTTTATGTTTATATTATTTAGATTTTCTTCTTGTTATTCTTTTCTATTTAGTTGTATTTGTTTATTTGTTTATTAATCTTATTCATCTTTTATATTATTATCATTTATATCTATTTTCATTTTATATTTATTCTCTTTTGTTTTTATTTATATTGATTTTATCTTTTATACTTTGATTTTATTATATCATTGATTATCATTTCTCCTTTTATTTATCATTTATTCTTATTATTCTTTTGTTTTATATTCTATATCATATATTCATATCATTTTCATTTATATTTTATCACTTATTATATGTTATAATAACATAACACATATGATTGATTATATAATAAACATCATAATGAAATTATACATATAAATAATAAACATAAAAAATAATAAAATATTTTCAACAATAAAACAATACTAATTATTTTACACCATTAGATTAGACACTTTTTATTGAATATTTCTCATTTTCAATAAAAATATACAATTTATTTATTCTTTCTTTTCTTCTTTTATTATTTCTTTTGTTTTATTACTCTTCATCTTCTTTATTTTATACCTTTCTTTCCTTTTTTATGTTATTTCTTTTTATCATTTGCCATCCAGTTACAATAGAAGCTAGTTTTATTATACTTAATTAATTAATTTTATTTATTTTTGTTTTTTTTTCAGTCATTTATTGTTATTAAAAAATATCTCAAAATACTTTCAAAATTTTACTGAACGATTTATCTGTTTGGCTTATTGCTACATTGAAGTGTTAATAGAAAATATATAATAAGACTTATTTTTAACAAAATATATTTATAGAGTAAAGTATTAAGATTAAAATGTTGTTGTAAAACTTTTTGCATGTTTGAAAGAATAATTATAGTAATATAAATAAATGACATTTTCTAAAAAAAATGAAAGACTAAACTATATAATATATCTTATATTTCATTGAAATTGTTATATTGAATCGATAACATTGTTATCAAGTATTTCATAAAAAATAGCTAAATGATTGTACAAAAATATTATTATTTACATGTAATTTGTTTAATTTATGATAATCTAATAACGTATATAACCAACTAATTCCTTTTTGATTGTGTTACAAAAAAATAATTAACATACTAATAATTGTCTTTAAAAAAGTTATTTTCTTCTGAAAAGAAGAAAAGAATAACTAATTAATGAGGAGGTATTATGATAAAAGAAATTCATAAATTGAAATTTGATATTCATTAAAGGAATGATAAACCTATTGTAAATTATTTTAATTTCATGAAACTTCTTTTGAAATACTTAATACTTAGACAGTTTTTTAAATCATATAGAAAGTATCAACTCAACTTTATGTATTTGATAAAAATATTCCTTTTGACCACTCTTATTAAGTATTGTTTTATTCCAAAACAAACTTTATTTTCATTTTATAAGTTATTGTATTTAGAATGTTTATTCTTATAAAACCTCTTTGAAAATTAGCAGTTACTTGTCACTCATATATATTTACTTTTGGTGTATTGTTATAAAGAGAAATCTTCAACTGAATAAGTTATATAAAATTTTACATACCAACAACTAATATTCATAAAAAATAGTCTTTATATTTCCAGGAAAATGATAAATGATTCTTATTCTCAAAACTATAAGAGTATTTAAAGATAGTTAAATATTTATATGAAGATTTAATTAAATAACAGTATTATTTAATTCAATAAAGCACTAATACTTAACTCCAAACATTTTTATAATATATCAAAAAAGTTCAATGAAAATTATCACATTCTTCCTATTATGTTAGTCTAAAACAAAATTTAAAACCATTAAACAATGTTGAAACAAAATGATGTCTATATCTTTTTCATGCTAATAAAGATTTCTTTAATGAAGTCTCCCAAACCATTAAAGCCCTAAAGAACCCCATCAACATTTTTACATTACCATCAGTAATGTCTTGAGACCCAATACCAGTATTAGTTAATCCAAGTGTTTGTACAGTTTCAACTAATACAGTACAGTTGGTTCTTCTTTGGAAAATATTTAAACTTCTTCCATTCTTTGGACGAGCAAACATTGACCAATTAATAACACCAGGTTTAATTTTGTCAATAACTTGACAAATAAGAAGACCATCATTAAATGAAGTTTTAAAGTCACCAACTTCAATTCCAAATCTACCAAACCAATCGATAATTAATCTAAATGATATGAATTTTATATGTTTTTTTTATGACAATAGAGAATTTAGAATGAAAGTAATAAAAACAAACTTCTCTTCAAGATTAGCAACGTGATTTGGTTGTGGAAGAGATTTAACGATAATTTCTTCTTTCTTATTATCTTCTTCAGCTCTTTTAGCTGCTACTTGTTTACGTAATTCTTCTAATGTTTTATCCATTTCTGCAGTATCATGAGTAAGTTTATCAATAAATGCTTGTTTGTCTTGAACAAGTTCAGTATTTTCTTTTTTACTA